GAGGTCTGGGTCTGAGCCCCTTTTCCATCCTCAGAACCTGTGCTCTAACCTGGGAAACTGGTTTCAAAGGAAAGGAAGGTTTTGTCTGTTTAGATAAATGTTACTTGGGGAGTGATTTCCTCTCTCCCTCTCAACGCTGGAGTTGTTTTGAATATATGATTTCCATCCACACCTCCTTCTGCAATGTTAACATTCAACTCACTCTGTAGAGACAAAACCCCAGCTATTCAGATTCAGTAATTCAGGCAACAAATCCAGCTTCTACAAGGCGCATGGCCGATACACTGAGAGCGGGCCACTGCTGCTTCCGGCTCCCACACAGAAGCCTGTTGAACAAAGTACTATATCTTATATGTTAAAGATGGTCTCGCATATTCTACTCTTACAAGGACCTGATTTCACTGCAAATATACGTGAGTCTGCCTTACAATATGCCATGTTGGAATGGGTTCTACCATTAGGTTTTATGAGGCCAGAGGTCTGTCCTGCCTGGGTGTGGTGAGGGTGACTTGGAGAAAGAACAGGAGCAAACCCCAAACTGCCTACCCGGCCTTTTCCGCCAGTCTCAGATCCCCAGTCTGTGTGTGTGTGTGTGTGTGTGAGAGAGAGAGACAGAGACAGAGACAGAGACAGAGACAGAGACAGAGACAGACAAGGAAGGAGGGAGGGAGGCAGAGAGAGAGAGAGAGGAGAGAAGTAGTACATGTATGTGAAGTGGTACATCCTGGTAACTGCACAAAAGAAATATTTAAGAACATCTGGTAAAAAGAAAAAGCAAATGGGATCAGACCTGAAAGGCTGCCAGAGTCTCAGAAGCCAGATCTGTGGGCAAGAGGTCAAGGGCAGGGCCGTTTTCCACATAAAGAGATGGCCACCTGCAAGTCTGTCACACCTGGGAGATAAGAAAAAGGAAAATGAGTAAGTCAGTGGCTATAACCTCATTGTCCTATCACACTGTCATTCGCCTTTCCTACCCAATATCAAAGTCCAGCTATCTTCAAAAAACTCAGGACTTCTGTTTAGCCCTGGAATAGCTATCTCCAGGAAAAGGGAGTCATGGCCTATAGAATAACCCATGTGTTTGTAGTTTCTAGAATCCTAAGCTCTAGTATCTAGCATCTTCAAGGAACAGAAGCCCAGAACCTACCACTAAATTCCAGCGCTGGGTCCAGCAGTCTAAAAATCCTTAGCTGGCAGAATGAAGGCAGAATATATGCAGATTCCTACACTGCCGCAAATCTCTCATATCTTCAGACAGCTGGGTAAGCTACGTTTCCTTCTCTTTCTTACTATGAGCATTTAACTATTTCCATCTCTTTTCTTGAAACCAGGACATCCACATTTAAAAGAATATTTAAAATTAAGGGAGGGGGTGGAGAGTCCCAAGTCCATAGAGCAACTACCTTGCAAATTATTTTACCTAAAGGAAAAACAAAATCAGATAGCAGATTTGAACAGCTTAAACCCTTGCTGAGTTACGTCACTGTAGTAAGCAAAGCTCAGCATTCACTCTCCCTGAGCTTTAATGCCCAACCGGTATGTATCTGTGCTTCCAGGTTTAGGACAAGAATTTGTATTGGTGATTTAAGAAGTATGGATGCTCTGAATATAGGGACAACCAAAGGGTAGTGGGGCCCATGTCTTCCTTCAACCAATGCAGAAACCTCTGATTTAGGCCCTCTCTTTCAATCCAAAATTCCCCTAAAAAAGGTAGACAGCGTTACATTGTAAAACCAACCCTCTCTGGTGTTGTCTATTCCCAGTATCTCTTCCCAAAGATAGTGTTGGCTGTGTCCACCCAGGAAAAGAGATGGGGAGATTTGTATGAGTTAAAGACAGCCTTCTGAACTGCCCAGAAACCCCAGGCATTGTGGTATCTCACCCCCTACCCCGCAGAAAGTTGTTCAACCTTTTAGTGTAAAGGACTGCCTCTATTGCTCTATTAACAATTTTAATTTGCTGGTGCAACTGTCCAACGTCAGGAGAAATCTTTACACTTGAGCTTCCTCTAAGGTCCACACAGCCACGCTTAAGCTCAAGTTAATTCGTTTTAGTCAGGCTTTCTTCGCGCCTTCTGGAGCCTGGAGCCTAGGGCTTCGTGGCTACGGCCCCCGGGGCCCTCGCCTCTGCCCCCAGGGCCTCCCCGCCCGGCTCAATTGCTCTGGGCCAGTTCATTTCGCCACAGCTCAGAGCCGCTCGGAAAGCAAAGATTAAAGGGGAAAGTCGCAGCTGTATATTTATATTTTCATTGCTAGAAGGGAATTGATTTCCGCGCATTTATTTTGGTAGTTGTAATACACAAGGGCGGATTTGCGTCACCCGAGCAACTTGTCGGTGGAGATAAAGTTGCACAAATATTGAAAGGGGAAGTGCTAGGAGTCATTATAGAGTTTTTCTCCGGAAGAAATAAGGATTTCTGCAGTATCCTAAAATACTAAGGCCGATTCTATTTTGAGACCGATCTCGCAGGCACATCCGCCCATTTAGTCAGAGTTTGAGCCCATCAAAAAACAGGAGATGACCTGAACTCCGGCAAACCCGGGGTTTCCTGCTGCTCTCTGGGCTCTGAAGGGTGGGGAGTCAGGAGGAGGGGAGGCCGAGGGCTCCGAAGAGGCGAGGGGCCCACAGAGACGAGGCCTGGGGGCCCAGTGTGGCGGGAGGCAGGGTGCACCCTAGAGGTTTCCTTTCCCGCGTCCTCCCCTCCCGTCGTCCCCGGAGCCCATGGCAGGCCTGGGTGGTGCTGACGCGGTTGCAATGAGGCTGAGGGCCTGGGAAGAGCCGAGCGGCGAGTTGCAATTAAGAATCGGGAAGGAAGAAAGCGTAGCAGGGCTGGGAGTTGGGGAACCTATACTCGGGGTCTCGATATAGTCTCTGCCGCCCTGGATTCTGGGCCTTTAAGGTTGCACAGGCTTTTCTTGGGCAACGCTGGAGCCTCGGAGGGCCCCTGTTCCACCCAGTCTGCACTCCTCGCCCAGCCCCAAGGGTCTGGTGTATTATTTACAGGCTGACACCTGGAGGGGAGGCCTAAATGCACCTCTTATAGAACCGTGAGGGTGGGCTTGGGCTGAGGTTTGCACGTTTGCAGTCGAATTGAATTGCAACCTAATTGGAAGTGACACTAGAAAAGAGAGGACGAGAGGGTTTCTGGCCACCCCTACAACACAGTTGCGCTAGTGACTCCCTGAGCGCTGTGGAATTGAGAGGCCACGCCCTCCCATCAGTCTCTCCCAAATCCTCAGCCTTTGCATGCAACGCCTCCACTGGAGCGTTTCAAGGAGGGTCCAATGCCTCAAGTGGCTTGATTCCTGTCACTCCTTTTGCCTGGTCTTCCTGTCTCTCATCCCAGGTGCAGGGGCCTCCGGCGATCATACCACTCCATTCTATCTCTGGAAATAACGGCTGTCCTGGCTGCAAGAAGCACTGGAATAAAACCCTTTAATAAAAGAGAGAGGGAGAGACAGAGAGGAGGTAGTCTTAGTACTGGCTGGTCGGAAGTGATTGGTTCCTTCCCAGGAGAAAGTCAAAAGCTTCAAATGACAGCATCTGCACCAATAAGCTAGAAACCATTGGAAATTAATTTATTTAAACCTGAACTCAAGACACGCATGGCAAGTTCAGTTGCCTTCCTGGGTTTATTTGGTAAGACCTCTTGGCGCTGAAGTGAAATTTTAAAACGCCACAGAAGCTTTATTACAACTATATTGAAAGTTTCTGGGGGGAAAGAATGCCACCGAAGTTCAGTTAGGAGATGCTTATTTAGGACAATCGAAAACAAAATATTTCGCGGTTTCATTATGGTTATTATTTTATTTTCTTCCTGAAAATGTGCAAGAGGAGCTCATCTGGGTGGCCTGTGGTTTGTTTGGGAGAGGGGTGGGGAAATCCATTCTGACTATAATTTAAAAGAGAACGAATTCTTAAAATAGAGATGTTGATGCTGCAGAAACGCTTCCACTACACCCTGTGCTCTAAAGACCCAAAGTGTTAATGGAAGACATTGGCCACCACTGCAGCTTCTCCTGCGACCGGGCCCAAGGGGTTTCCCGGGCAGTCACTGAATTGAAGGTAGCTTTTAACCCCAAGGAAATCTGCTCTTATAGGCACTTGCGAAGCAAAGGACCCTACTTGATCGGGGATGTGGCTGAGTAGGGAAGGTGACATTTCCTACAAGGTGCCGCAGAGGCGGGGAAGCGCGTGCAGCTCAGCGGTGTTTCAGACGGCGGCGGCCTGTTTTGCTGCCTCTCTAAAGCTCAGGGGAAGGTTTGCCTGCGTCCAAGGGAGACGTTCCAAGACATCCATCTTATTTTGTTTGAAAAGTTACTTGTTCAAGTTGTCACTGTGTGACAGCTCAGAATAAAGCTAATTTGCGACTGCCCCAACCCCTCTTTCCCGATCTCGGAGGCTGCAAGGCGGGCGCAGTGAAAATTGGGCGGGGACTCAGGCCCCCGCCTTGGGGCTCGATACCTTAGGGCTGAGCAGACTGGGGGCGGGGGCCCACGAAAGGGAGCTTTGTAGAGGACACCGGCTCTCAGGATAAATGCTGCGTGAAGAAAAGTCGGGCCTGAGTAAAGAGGAAGGAAACTAGGGGGCTGCCAGCACGTTCCGGGAGGCGGGCTTTGCATCCCGCAGTAACACGAGGGAGTACCAGCTTCCCCAGGCGAGCGCTCCTGGAGCGCTGTGACCAACTCTTCGCTTCCGCTGCCCGTCTGGAGCTGCAGAATTTAGTCGAGGGTCGGAACTCTCTGGAACCCCTGTCCCGGCGGCTCAGCGACAAACCCTGCTCAGACCACGCGGCAGCCGCAAACACTTTGGCGTGGCCGGGGCGTGGCCGACGGGATGGCCACGCCCCTCAGTCGCAATTCCCCTCCACTTCCCGCTCCCATTGGCTCCGAGGTTGGCCAATGAGCGCTCGGATCGAGGTCCTACCCTGGGTCTGACTCGAAAGCTCCTGCCAAAACTTTGGGAGTTTTTAGAGAGGACTTTTTTTTCCCCCCTCTTATTACTTTTTTTTTTTTTTTTTTAGCTCTTAGGGCTGAACTGTTTGGGTTTTTCTTTCGGTGCCCAGCCCCTGTTTCCCTCCCCGGCTTCCCTGGCGAGCGCGGAGCCGCGGCCCTCGCGCGTCTCTCCGCTCCAGCGCCCCTCGGCGCCTCCTGCCCGCGGGGAGCGCGGGCGCCGCGCCGCCCTTAAAGACGGGCCAGGGCCCGGGGCTGTGACCGGCTGGGATCCGGCCCTCGCCTCCTTCTTCGGCGGCGCTGGGGCTCCCTGGCCTTTCTTCAGTGCGGACCAAGAAGCGAAAGCGGATCGTCCTCGGCTGGGCTGCCACCGCCTCCTGGACTCAGCGCACCCCCGCCCCACGCACCCACCCACCATCCACCCGGCCCTGCCAGGCCGCGGCGGCCGCCAGGATGTTCGCCGCCGGGCTGGCCCCCTTCTATGCCTCCAACTTCAGCCTCTGGTCGGCCGCCTACTGCTCGTCGGCCGGCCCGGGCGGCTGCTCCTTCCCCTTGGACCCCGCTGCGGTCAAGAAACCCTCCTTCTGCATCGCAGACATCCTGCACGCCGGCGTTGGGGATCCGGGAGCGGCCCCGGAGGGTCTGGCCGGGGCCTCGGCCGCCGCCCTCACTGCGCACTTGGGCTCGGCTCACCCGCACTCCTCTTTCCAAGCCGCCGCCAGATCCCCGCTTCGACCCACCCCGGTGGTGGCGCCCTCCGAAGTCCCGGCTGGCTTCCCGCAGCGGCTGTCTCCGCTCTCGGCCGCCTACCACCACCACCACCCGCAGCAGCCACCGCATCAGCAACAGCCTCCGCCCGCCCCCCGCGCGGGCGCCCTGCAGCCCCCTGCCTCCGCGGCGCGGGTGCTTCCCGGCCACCAGAGCGGCTCGGCCCCGGCGCCCTCCAGCAAGGACCTCAAATTTGGAATTGATCGCATTTTGTCTGCAGAATTTGACCCAAAAGTCAAGGAAGGCAACACCCTAAGAGGTAGGTCTTGGGCGAAAGGCTTCAGGCCTCTGATCAGGGCCCTGACGCACTCCCTGGTCCCCGGGTCATTTGGGATGCCTTTGAATGTTTTTACAATTGAGGACAAATCATTAAAATGAGGAAAAGGAAATGAATTGGAAGAAGACAGTAGAACATTAGTTTTAAAACTCACCTGCTCTGCATTAAAAAAGGACTCTAGGGATGCTTTAAAAAACACACGTCACAGAATCAGTATTTCCTAACAACGCTTGGCATACATATTTGCTAAAAGGACTATCGGCTGTCTCTTTAATCACAGATCAATTGACACAAAAAGCCCTTTTGGGAACACTTTCCCTCCCATTTATCTGATTTCTAGTGAAATTACACCCAAGGAATGTAGACAAAGTCATTTCTAAATTCCCGAGGGAGCAGAGTGGGGCTCCTTTGGGAAGAGGGTTTAGGTCTATGGAATTCTTGGAAGGCACCTGAAAGTGACTTCCTTTCCACAGTTACACATAAAGCCCTTACCTTGCTATCTGCGTGGACAAGGACATGTGGGACAGAAACATTTTGTGCATCTCCCCTTGGCCACTGTCGGGAAAGGAGTTTGGGTGCAGACAGGGGTCTTTCAGGACCTCGCTCCAGGAAAACGGAATTGGGGGCGAGGGGGAGGAGAGGAACAAATCAGCGCGGAGAGTGTGGGTTTGCCCGAGGTGTAACCAGCTCTTCTTTTCCCGGTCCTCAGATCTCACGTCCCTGCTAACCAGCGGGCGGCCCGCGGGGGTGCCCCTCCCTGGCCTGCAGCCCTCCGCTGGCCAGTTCTTCGCGTCTCTAGATCCCATTAACGAGGCTTCTGCCATCCTGAGTCCCTTAGGTTCGAACCCGAGAAATTCAGTTCAGCATCAATTTCAAGACACGTTTCCAGGTACGGAAACCCTGCCCGGCAATGGCCAAACCAGCAGCTTGACTGACAGAAAGCTCAGGGTTTATGCTTCTTCACGTGGCAACCGCGGTGCAGCAATCCTGGAGTTGAGAAGGGAGGTTACCGAGAGCAGGGGAAGAAACCGAAAGATTTCTCAGTGAGCTAGTTCACTCTTCGGTCTCCTCCCAGGGGAAAGGGGTGTGGGTTCTCCGAGCCGAGACAGTGTATTCGTGGGTTGGTTGCGGGGCTCCCCCTAGGCTTTTCGCTAGAGACGGTAGTTTGAAAATTCAGCAAGAGGTGTTGCTTATTAACATACACACTTTTCGAAATGACCTCAAACACTTCTGCTCCAGGACATCCTGTGTGCCTGCGTGGGCACTTATGTGAACACACACACACACACACACACACACACACACTAGAGAAAAGAAGCTGTCATGTCTAAATCTTTTGGGCCTAAGTGACATTTTCACCTTCTCTTCAAATGCCTGATGGCCAAGCATTAGGCTTATAATTTTCCTTTGTAATCAGTGCACCTCTTGGGCTTCTCCACTCCACACTTGCTTTAGGCCTTATGCCTCTTGAGAGCTGTGAAATTCCTTCTTTAGAGAAGCCATTCCGGGTCTGCCGTGAAGGACTTTCTGAATGAGGTAGAGCAAACTGTTAACACAGAAACAGGTTTGAGCAGCATGGCGAGTCCCAGGCCCACAGGCCATGAACTGGGCACTGATGGGCCCTCATGTCTCTCTTTTGCTCCCTGTTCTGGTGGCAGGTCCCTATGCTGTGCTCACGAAGGATACCATGCCACAAACGTACAAAAGGAAGCGCTCATGGTCTCGCGCAGTCTTCTCCAACCTGCAGAGGAAAGGCCTGGAGAAAAGATTTGAGATTCAGAAGTATGTGACCAAGCCAGACCGAAAGCAGCTGGCCGCGATGCTGGGCCTCACGGATGCCCAGGTAAGCCAGCTGAGACTGCAGCGCACAGCCCCCTGGGGCAGGCAGCAGCCTGTGGCCTAGCCCCAAGACCCCCTCCATCCCACCCACTCTCCTTTTGTGGTGGAGTCACAAGTTCTTGAATTTCATGAGACTTGATGGATTTGCAACTTGAGGAAAGAGAGAGGAGGGGTTTGGGGGAGGCGGACAGAAAGACTAGTCATCACAAAGATGTGTGTCAATAAGCTCCGAATATTTACTTTGGTCAAAAAAGCAAAAGGACCGCCAGGAAAGCAAATAGGTTGCGGCAGATAATTATGTACTGGGCTGTAGTGCAGTTCTCTGTAGGAGGCAGTTTGTTTCAGAAGAAATCAAAATCCTAAGAGATTGTTGTTGGGTTTTCTTTTCCCTCCCGTCTCTCTCCCTCCTCCTCCTTCTGCTGCTTGCTGGATTGTGAAATCCCCAGTTGTGAGGAAGTGAAAACATCATTTCAAACGGAATTACTTAACCCCAGTAGGGCAAGGAGTCCGTTTGCAGTGTCCAGTCGGTCTGATTTTCTAACGGAACAAGCTCTAAAGCTCCCAGGTGGGGGAGGGGAAAACTGAGGGACAGAAGAGAGAGAAAAAAGATTTTCTTAGAACACCCAAGAGCATTCCAGCAGGTTCTGCCTACTTGACTTTTTTTTTTCAAGACAATAGCAGATCTATCAGGCCTGAATTCAATTTTTTATTTCAATTTTTTTCTTTTCTCTAATTCAGGAACTGGACTTTATTTTTTCTTTTTGGATTTTGAAAATAGAAGTCACCCCTCTTCCACACCCCTTAGCAGCGGCCCTTGTTCGTGGGGTGCTGCATGTTCTGAGCAGGGCAGAAGCCAAAGGGAGGCACTTTTTTCTTAGCTCCCTTACGTCCTCCACCCCGTCCTGTCCCTGTGTCTTTCTGTCCTCCATTACACAATTCCCCTGCCTGACACACACACTGGAAGAGCCCAGCCGTTTTCCACCAGCTGTGGATGTTATTTTTAAAAGGGAAGCTGGAATTTGTGTGAACGCATTGGGTCCCCCAGGGGACTGTATATATTTATATAGATTCTCTGTCCTATGCCTACCCCCTTCTTCAACTTTGCACAGGTTTAATTCCAACATTTTCTGAGTCCCCAGAAGGATTAGTTTATCCTGAGCAGGGGTGGAGTCCTTATCAGCTTCTGAGTACACACATGCCAAGGAAATGCTCTTCTATTGAAGGTCCAGCAAGTGCTGCCACCTCACTGGGATTAACTCTTTGAATCCTCTTTTCCCTCTGTGCTTCCTGCGGTTCCTCCTTAACAAGAAGTGCTTTTGCTTGCCTTGGGTGGTAGAAGCAGAGGAGGGGATCAGCAGAGCAGGGATTCTCAACATTAGTTTACCAAGCCCTTGAAATGATGTCCAAAATCTTGGGTGTCTGTCCATTTTTCTGGGCCAGGAGTCCATAATTTTGATCTTGGGGAGTCCTGGCTCAAATGGGGTTAAAAAGCATTGACTTAGAGTAATTTGAGGGCGAGGTACAGGAATCTGCCTTTCCAGCAAGCGCCCAGGCCATTTCAGGCTCGAGATCTGGAAGGCCACATTTTCAGAAACAGCCCTAGTGGGTTTTGTAAGAAAGAATCTTGGGCGATCTTGTTTCCCTGGGCTGCCTCTTGGCCCCTGCGCCTATCACAGTGCCTGGCCCCTGGTTGAGGTGCAGGGGACACTTAGCGGTGCTCCCCGGACTTTGGGGGTGGCTCCTGGGTGCACCCGGTTCTCATCTCGGTGTCCCTCCTTGTCTCCCCGTGCTGTGCGGCGCAGGTGAAGGTGTGGTTCCAGAACCGGCGGATGAAGTGGCGGCACTCCAAGGAGGCCCAGGCCCAGAAGGACAAAGACAAGGAGGCCGGCGAAAAGCCCTCCGGCGGGGCCCTGGCTGCCGACGGCGAGCAGGAGGAGCGGAGCCCCAGCCGCTCCGAGGGCGAGGCCGAGAGCGAGAGCAGCGACTCGGAATCCCTGGACATGGCCCCCAGCGACACGGAGCGGACCGAGGGGGCCGAGCGGCCTCTGCACCAAACAACGGTTATCAAGGCCTCGGCCGCCGGCCCCCTGCTCAGCGCCAGCAGCGCTGCGAGTGGTGGAAGCACCGGCGGCGGCGGCGGCGGCTTGAGCTTCTGCGGCCTCAGTAGCGCCAGCAGCCTCGGCAGCGGCGGCGGCAGCGGCCCGGAGCTGCTCCCTGCTCCCCAGCCCGCCCAGGGCAGCGCCCCGCAAAGCCCCGAGCCCTCCCAGGCGCCGCTCGGCGGCCTATAGACTGGACCGGTGCGGAGGGCCTGGGGTCCTGAGCGCGGACTGCCGGCCTCCCACTGCGGCCGGATTTGAAGCCTACTTTACATGGGCGGTGGGGCCGGCGGGAGACGCAGCGGAGGAGCCTCCGGCCTTGGGTTGTAGCTCGCCTCCCGCTGCCCCGCTGGTGCTGCCCACCAAGCACGGAGCCGAGGGGAGTCTCAGCGTTCCCCTCCGAAGGCTCCCAGCGCCGGCCGAACACTTCTCCTCGGATGCGAACAGCTCACAACGGGAAAACGTTGGACTAAACAGTCTTCCCCGAACAGGGGGTCGTGGCGCAAAGACGTACTGCACTTAGGACGCCACAAACTTGTAAATAAAATGTTTACTACGGTTTGTAAAGGCCGCTTGGGCTTGCTGGGGCAATGAGATCGTTAAGATCAGGGATCCGCATCGTGGACCTTAGCCCCAGGGCACTGCAGGTCGTAGCTGAGGAAAGGTGGGGACTGGAGCATTTGGGGAAAATGTTGCAACGGCATAACCACTTTGCTGCAGAGATCCACGTTGGGGCGTAGCGGTTTCACCAGTTCAGAGGTCTAGTAGTCAGGAGCCTGCACCAACTGTCTCTGAACGCGCGCTCCGTGACCCTAAATAATACGGCCGAGAACCGAATTGGGCCACAAAATCTGTTAGGCCCGCCGGGTAGACGGCCTTCTCCACCCGGAGTCGGGACCCAAAGTGTGCCTCGCGGGCTTTGCGGGGCTCTGGGTGGAGAGGAGCAGAGTTGGAGTGGAGAAGACTGGGGTGGGTGGGGTCAACCTAGTCCCAGCCGGTGCTCACAAGGTGTCCCCTCAATGCTGGGTGTGGATCCTTGAGGCAATTACAATGCCTACCACTCCTTGCTCAGGAACGTATAGGGACACAGGGCAGGTCTGTAATGTGGAAGAAAGGACAGACAGACCACAGTGGTTAGGGCTTTAAAGATATCCAAACTACTGCACGGTAGGGAGAATACTTATTCAAGGTCATACTAAGGAGCCCAAGCCAGAACTTGGACCTCCGGTCCCTCAGGTGGCGAATGATGGGTCTAGGAAACCACATCAGTCCCACCCCACCCTCCCAGTTCACACAGAATCAACCTTCCTACCTGGACTTATACTGCAGGTCTCATTTGAGCTCTTTTCCCCCTGAAGCCCCAGTGAGTTGAGAGGCTGTGTCCCCATCACACAGCAGCTAGAACATAGCAAACCTATGTTGCTTGGTTCAGGGATGGGCCATTCAAAGTTTCGTTTTGAGAGATTTAGGAGTCAAGCCTCTCTCCAAGACCTGTTCCCCCTTGGCTCTCCTTCCCTTGAAACTATGAAATGTCTGGAGTTGATAAAAAAAAAAAACTCTTTTGGGAAATTTTAAAACAAATAGATATACATTGCCAACAAACTTAGTCACCCTGACATATTTGGCACCGAGCTCAGAGGAGAGCACAAGTCCTCTTACAAGCCAACCACCTGAGCTGAGGAACAGGTTCCCCTTTAGAAGGTGCTCCTGGATGCTAAGGTCAGTGGGTCTAGGATGCGTCCCTGGTCGGGTGAGAAGGCTCCTAGAGGTCCCCCTGTCCAGCTTAGCTTCTTCCCCACCTTGACCCATTCACTAGACCACATTCAAAGGCCTCCATTCTAAACTTCCCAGCTCAAGGGCAGAGTAAAGGCCTCAGATTCAGCCTCCTCGGGTCTGGCTAAGTCCCAGAGCCCAGTGGAGGGATGCAAGGCTGACCATTCCCTGCTCCAGTCAACCTCCCGAACCTCAAATCAGGTTGAACTCCATGAGGGCTGTGCAGAGTGGGGAGGAGAGAGGGGGCCGCCACGGTGGTCCAGCATAGGAAAGAGAAGAGAAAGGCAGGGTGCCCCAGGGGGACCTCAGGTTAAATGCGACTGTGAGCCAGGTGTTATACCTAAACGTGCCAGGAGTTTCCAGGTGAGAGCAGCTTCCTCACCTGCCATGGGTTCCAGCCTGGGGTTGGAGTCATTTGCCCAGAACTTCCACAGGCTGTTACTCAGACTGCAGGATTCTCTCTGCACCCCAGTTTTGCTTTCATTACCAATGTTCGTTTCCTCCCACCCCCGAAATACTGACATTCTGGAACCACGATATCCCAAGAACATCGAATTTTGAGGCACTTAAATCCAGTTCTGGAGTTCAGGAGCATAGGCGGCAAGCACGTGTGTCAGGTGGAGGCGCGCGGCTGGGACAGGGGGAGGGGAAGGAGTTGGCACCTTATGCATACCGCAGCCACCGCGCTCCCGAGGAGCACAGCGAAGTACCTGCTGTCCCCAAGTTTCCGCTGCATTTTCCCACCAAGGGCTCAGGGTTTTCGAAAGATTGTAATGATGTAATTTCAGGCAGAATCAGGCCGTTTCATGGTCAGGTTCTGCCAGACCATAGGGCGCGGCGAAGCCGGGGGAGCTGGAGGAAAGTGGGCAAGCCGTCAGGCACCTGGGGTGGGGGAGCCGGGATGCCGCGGGAAGAGTTCGCAGCAGGCCCCCCCTTCCTCGGTCACCCTCCACCTCTCTCTCCTGAACATTTTCCCCCTTGAAAGTCCAGTGGGGCTTTACTCTGGGCAGTGGAATTCCTCCGCTTTTTCAACGGAATATCACAAGCGCGAGAGAAGCTTATGGTTCATTTGGAAGAAGAGCAGCCGCAGGACTCCTCTCCAGGCCGGCGAGAAAAAGCCGCATTTGGGGCCAGGTCGACTCTTACGGAACTGCCGCTCGCCCCGGGTACCGAAATTTCCCCGGTGGCGCTCACTGCTAGCAAGAGCGGCCAGGGAAGCTAGAAATTCTTCAGCTAAACCGAGATTTCTCAGGCACGTAAGAGAGGGCCAAGCATGCACGTTCAGGGGACGCCAGGTCCACCGAGGCCCGCAGGGCTGGGGCTGGGAGGTGGCGGGTGCGCGCGTTCCGGAGCGGAGCAGAGCCTGTGCCCCCACCGCTGCCCGCGCGCCACCCAGGACTGTCCCTTTCCTAAAAGCGGCAGTAACTTTTGTCCCAAGCAGAGCTCTGCCCCTCCAGCCGCAGTAATCCTCGAGGCGCTGAGGCATCAGAGCAAGGTTACCGAGGCGCAGTTTGGTGCTCGCAGGGAACGGAGCCCACCAGGGAACTGGTGGAACCGTTGAGAGGGTTGGTGGGATAACCCCCTCGGGTGCGCGCGCGTGCGCGCGCACGCACTACAACTACACACATTGGTTATACACAAATACTTACGGGGCACACAGAAGCGCGGACTCAGAGGACAGACCATCTACTGGCTATTTCAGCACTTTGTGAGCAAAGCCACGCAAGTAAAGTTCCCCATTATCCTTCATATGGCAAAGCAAAGTGAGCAACCTCACACCATCTTCTTCTAGTGTGAGTGGGTGGGGAGCTTGTCTCCAAAAATGTTTCTTTGCTCCAGGTGTCATCGACCAAACCAGTGCAGGCTGGAGCCCCGTTCTCCTCCATTTGTCTGCCTCATTCGAGGGTGGACAGGGACCTACCTGGTGATGATGGTGGTAGCAGGAGGGTGTTGCTGGGAGCTTGCTGAGATGTCGATCTGTCCCTATCCAAGCCAAAGCTGTCCAGCTCTGTGGCACTTGAAGGCGAAGCCTTGCCCCTAAGGGAAGCTCTGGACCACATACCAGCCAAGGAGATCACCCCCTGTCCTCCCCTGCGGCCTCCATCCATCAAGGATTCCTGTGTGGGGGGTATTGGGGGGTGAAAACACTTGATCAGACTCAGGTTGTCACAAATCCTTCTGATTCCTTCCACATCTCAGAGGGTACCAGTAGCTCTGGGGTCTTTCTTGTGGCTTCTCTCTCTAGCTTGGATCTGGAGTGGGGTGTTGGCAGGGGTTCTAGTTTGCAGCCATCACCAGAGCCAGGTGAGCTGTGAGTGCCTGACCTGCTGGTCTCTCCTGTTCTAGCACTGGAAGCCAGTGTAACTGGAAGGTGACCCCAGGTTCAGCCTTAGCTGTAAGTGGCCTCTAAGAGCTTAGGGGTGTCCTGGGCATGGCAGGAACCAGGACCCACAACAGGGGTTTTCTGGGAGCGTTTTAGACTTGAGCTTTAATCTGTGTGGCTTTCCCCAGTTAAGCTTTAACCTATTCCCAGATCTGACCCCACTTCCCCTCAAGAAGTTGACTAACTTAAGACTCTTGGTGTGCGGGATGGGTCTGGGGCGGTTCTGCAAGGAGAAATGGGGAAGAGGAGCCAGAGAGGCTGAGGTTGACACACCCTCCTCCCTTGGGTGCTTCCTGGCTCTCTTCTACCTTGGTTCTCCTTTAAGAAAGAAAAGCCTGTGGAGGGACTAAAGGCTTGAGTCAGTCTTCCCTTTAGACGTGGTACATACTAGAGATGCAGCAAAGGATTCCGGATGCGCAGGGCCCTTGCATCCCCGCTCTTCGCCTCTGGAGAGGGGCTTGCATACTCCAAACTCTTCGTGAAGATACAAGTAGTGGATTTTAGGAGGACTTTAAGTGCAGGTGTTCCTGCTGGGGGAGATACAGCAGATTGCACTGTGTTCACGCATACGTCTGGTTCCCAGCCTCACCTTCGAGGTTATGATGGAATTAACTGGCCTCCCAAGGACAAATGAACTGCCCTCTCCACCGGGCTTCTCCTCTCACACGCGATATTAACACCTGCAGTGTGCGCCCCCTGCGGAGGCCACTCTTTGGAAACAGCGATTGTTTACACAGGGCAGAGGGCGCCTTCTAAGCTACCCCCCACCCCCAGTTCCAACAGAGCACAAGCTCTTCTGGGACTGGCCTGTGGCCTCGTAGCCTCTGGCACAGGGGAACTCAGAGAATCGCTGTCCTTTGGGCGGCTTGACTGCCCTACTTTTAGGAAGGAAGGATATGTGTCCCGGCAGGTGCGATTACTTCCGATTTCTTCATTTTAAGCATGAGGCAACCTAGGCCAGAATTCTTGACACTTACTGAAGTCCCAGGGAGAGTGAATGCCAGGACTGAGCTAAGCACGTGGAGTCAGTGCCTTCCGCAGTGCCAAAGAAGGAGAAGGGTCCTCCGAGACACATTTCACCTACCGGATTCCGATCCAGAATATCAAAGCTCAATGGCTTTTAAAAGAAGGGAATAAAAGGTTCAACCGCTGAGGAAACTGTGGGCTCCTGTTGGCCTACCTCCTCCTCCCCTGTAGTTCCCAAGCAGAGTCCCTCCTGGTATGGCAGGCTGGGCCTCCCCCTGGCACACTGCTCTTCAGCCCGCGATGCCACCTCCTTAGCTGGTTTAGCTTTGCTAATAGTGTCCCGGTCCGGGCCACACCCTGCTCATGGGATGTGGCGCCATCCTTCGTGCTTTTCCGGTTATGCCTGTCGTTGGTGGCACTTGGAACTTGGGGCAGATCT